GCCCCTCGGGGCGCCGCTGCCGTGGGACCGGCGCTCCAGCCCCTCTGCGTTCCCCCGGAGCAAGCTCTGCCTCCCTCTAGAGCATCCCTACATTCCCCCTTCCCCTCTCAACCCACGAGCATCCCTTCATCACCCCAGAGCATCCTTACATTCCTCCTTCCTTCACAATCCCGGAGCATCCCCGCATTACCTCTGAGCATCCTTACATTCGTCCTTCCCTCTCAACTAAGGAGCATCATTGCATTGCTCTCAGAGCATCCCTACATTCCTTCTTCCATCTCAATCTGGAAGCATCCTTGAATCCTTACAGAGGGTCCTTGCATTCCCCATGGAAACATCACTGCATCTCCCCTGAGCATCCCCTCAAGATAAAGGCCACAGGGTTCCTACCTCAATGGAGAGGAGTGAAGGTCAAGGCTTAGCTTGCCTTTTAATCAGAGGTCAGTCAGGAATGATCTCCAGGTACGTGGTGGAAAGTGGAGGACATGCTCCTCACTAGCAGCAGGAGGAAGAGGTGAAGTTGCTCTTTACCATGTGGCCATTTGATCTGCAAACCAGAGTCCTTGCTCACGGTCCCCAGCCACAGGGGATGATTGATCCCTTCACTTGCTGGGCACTTCATTGCTAAATAGGATAACTTTTGTTTGAATACTTTCTTTGGTTGGTGATACTGCAGGATGAAATTGCCTACAGCTGTAAAAGTCCAGTGTGCAGTGCCTGCTCCAGACTGCAGGAGTGGAAATGTCCTCAGGGATGTCTTGTCACCAGTATAAGATCAGCTCACCACAATCACCACAGCTGGAGAATGGCATGGGGACGTGCAGGCCAGCAGCACTGGAATTCAGAGAGGGTTATTAACTGGAGACCCTTGCCAAGCACCTCTCTTTCTGGAGAAGTGTGATAAGTTCTGTAGATCTGTGAAGAACACAGATCAAAAAAGCAAAGCTACAAAGTTGTACAAACCCAGAAAGCTGCACGAAGCTGATGCCCAGGGATTTTGCTGCTTTCTGATTACTCCAGAATCTATTTTCATATCAGAAACTGTTACAGCCTCACAGAATTCCTCTTCAAACCCACTACCATATCCCCAGGACAATAGGTGATGCTGATCCTGCTGGGAGGAACCTGAAAGGGCTCCTTCAAATCATGGTACACGTTTTGCAGCCAGCAGAGCCATGAGGGGAGAGCATCTCTCACTGCAGCACAGGCAGGGACCCCACCAGGTGGCAGGGGTGGCCTTTGGGGGCATCCACTGAAGGATGGCCTCCAGTAAGGACCAGCTTCATCCTGTCTCTTAACTTGCCCAGCACTGAGACAACTTGCTGGCTTCAGAATTAGATCCAGGCTCTCTTTTTGCAGTGCAGGCAGTGTCTGGTGGGCAGGCAGGCCTGCAGCTGCCACCAGGCATGGTGCATCCCCTTCCTTAGGGAGCCAAGTATTCCCAGGCCACTCCACAAAGCAGAGGACTTGGTCCTTGTTGCTGCTGTGTCCTGATGGAGCATGTCACTGTGGGCTCGTGGGAGCAGTGGCTGGGAGAGCAGAGGATGCTGCATGTGCCAGAAGCTCCTGGTCAGTGGGATAATGGCTGGAGGTTGCAGTGTGTTCATTGGAGGTTTTGTGGAACCTTGAGCGTGGCTTCAGTGCTGCTTTGGGGAAGATGAGATTTAACAACACACCCGACTGAATTCCCACCAGGGTGGCTGAGCAGCTGCAGCATGGCTGCAGCAGAGAGGATCTGAATTTTGTGCATTTTCTTTCAGATGTGATGGAGAAAGGGCTTCTTTTCTTGCCCCCCGTTTAATGAGTCCACAGACTGCTTTCACTCTTTAGTTCCTTGTAAACTCTAGCTATTCAGACAATCATTAGTATTCATTGAAATGTTTACAAATTCCAAATTGTTGTGTGCTTGTGGCAACACTATCGCTAGGAGCTGTCTGCTGTCTGTTAGTCATCAGTCATTATTCAGAGTTCTCACCATCCAGACAGGAAGCAGAAACTGTACTTTGTCCCTAAGGTAGTTTATAAAGTGTTTGCAAAATGTAGCATGAGCCAATCTCAATTATTGTTTATCCAGAGTAATTTGTTAGGGGTCTTAGACAAATGTGAGATGACAGAGCTGAGCAGACTATAGTTTTCCTGATCCTGATGTTTCTCTCTTGCTTCAGCAGAAGGACAAATATATTTGTAGTATACTTCAGGAGACATGCTGTCTTGGTAACAAAACCAAGGAAATCGCTCAACCTAGAAGGGGTAGTTAAAGCAGATTACATACAGAAATGCAAGCAGATGGTATCATAGCTAATATTTAGACCTGGCTTATGCAGTATGTGCCACAAGTAGATATCCCATATATTCATAAGTGCTTATATATGTTCATATAGGATATATTGATCCCCTCGTGGTTGGCCCATGATGTTTCCCTCTGAGCTTGGAGGCCTGAATACTGCTTAACCCATGTGTGGATAGAAGAGCCAAAATGGGACCTTTCCAGAGGATCTGAATTACAGCTTATCTATAATCTCTCCTGAGTCTGGTTTTGGTTTATTCTAAGGCTTTGACTGGGAAGCAGGGACTGGGATTGACAGATGCAGAGGTCACAGCCCAGATCTCCCACCTGAACCCACACTGGGGGCTCCTGCCCTGCTGCAGGAACATCCAAGATGGACCTCTCCTTTCCTCTGCTTCCTTCCCTACTTTATTTTAGAAGAAGATTTTTGGACATGGATTTTGCAGATGTTCTGTATTTTTAAAAAGAAGCAAGGGTAAAATGTGGCATTTCAAGGCCACTTTGTACTGGAAGAAAAGTCTGCACTTGAAAGTTGTTTCACATTCAAGCAGAGAGTGAGTAAGAAGTGAGTAACCCTCTTGTAAGATGGGTGTTGAGTTTCTCTATGATGTGAAGCCTTTGAGCTAAGAGACAAACAGCTTCTGCAGCCTCCTGGTGTTTAGGGAACTCAGGCTTTGGATGTAATTTAGTAGTTGGCCCTGTCCTGGGTTTGGCCATTGCAAAGCCACATCACAGAGCAGTGCCTGAGGACCATCAACTGCTGCTGGCTTTGCTGAGCCTTGCTGGTGACTGTCACCTCTCTGTTTGGTGCTGAGTTCTGTGGGGAAAGAGGCCATGTTTTGAACATGCTTTTTGTGTGTGTGGCTTAGTGCCACTTGCTTCTTTGTCTGTTGCTTATTATTTTAGTTTGGAGGTCCTAGAGGGACCAATTTGGAGTTTCCTTTGCACAGATATATTTCCTCTCTTTAGCTTTAATTTATGTTTTCTCCTGTGACTTGTAGACTTGCACATAGATTTGCAGGTTCGACAGAGAAGTTCTGTCTTTCCCAAGAACTCACATCCAAATAAGTAGTTTCTGTGCAAACCCATTATGCTGACCACTGGTCTAATTCTCCTTCTTTCTGAATTTAGCATTTGGTAGTTTTGTTAAATCCCCATCTTTCCTGTATTATAAATGTACTATGGTTTTATTAAACACCCAGTTCAAAGTTTTTTCACTGTAACACTTGGGTAATTCCTTTAGCTAAAAGGCATATGCTATAGTCCATGTCAAATCAGAGCCAATTATAATGCCTCTGGTTTGTCTTGGGCCATGGTTACTGGTTACCTCATGTAGGTATTTGCAGTTCATGAAGATCTCAAGATGACATAAACCAAAACACTGGATGTGGAGAACCATGCTACAAAACCTGTTTTCAGCTTCTTAGGAGTGCTGTAGAAATACTCAGATTTTATTAGATGCTTGCTCAGGTTCTTGGGATTTGTTAGATGCTCCTTATCTTTCTAATGAACCAAGAAATCTAGGTGCAAGGAGCTGGATTACTTCCCACTCTGGAAGGCATATCAGTATGTCTGTGATGAGATTAACTTTGTTGGATTGCTTTGTTCTTTTTATCTCATCCACTTAAGTTTTATTCCATAAATGTATTTTTAGCTCTGAAGAGTATATTGAAGAGTTTCTTAAAGATGGCACCATCTTGGCCCAGAAGTAGCTCTTTTATGTGGTAAATCTGGAGCTTGGAGGATATTCCTTTTTAGCTGGTTCATTAAGTATTGCTACATAATTGACAGCATCTCCTGCCTTAGAGACGATGATCTTCCACAAATGACAAAGTGATAATCATTCCTTAGTCATTAAAACAGAAATGAATTTATACTTAATACACACTGTCTCCAGATGGTTTGTCTCGGGGAATACATGACCTGAAATTGTTTTCATGCACGTCCTACTCCAAAACAACCAAGATGGTCACAGACAGATTCTATGTACAAGTACCCTTGTACATGAGGCAGCAGAGGGCTGAAACAGTTCCAAAATTTGCTGCCCCTCTACTCCAGGAACATCTTGCTCTGATGTGCCTGGCTCCAGCTCAGGAACCACATGGCTCTTCACCATCAGTGGAAGTGCCTCCACCACGGGGCACAGATGAATGAGCACCTAGAGGTGAGCTCAGCTGTGCTGGGGCTCTTGTGTGTGCCTGGCTGGGTGTTGGTCTCACTTATTTCTTTGTGAAGGGGGGAGATGGAATCTCGTGTTTCTTCTGGAATAAATCAAGTAATAAATCAAATAAAACCAGTAAATTAGGCGCTAATGACAAATTAGGTTATTCGTAATCTGTAGGGACAGAAGTAATGTCCCCTGGATGTTGATCAGCCTCCTTCCAGCCTCCCACAGAGCAATTTGCTCCTTGGTACAGGTTTAGATACGCATCATTGCAATTCCTCAGTGAGGACAGCTGTGTCTCCAAATCAGGAGTTATGGAAATCAGAAGACACATTAGCATCAGTCACGTGTAATGGGGAAGCAAGAGCTTTCATGACACCATCTCTCCACTGTATGACTGTCTCTGCATTTCCATGGAGGCAGAGCTTCCACACCAAGGAGTTTGCTCTTCTGGGGGGCAGAGAGGCTGAGCAGGGCGGAGGCCTTGCAAGTTCCAAACCTCCAGGAGAGATGCTGCTATTGCTGTGCATGAATTGTAGTTTTTCTATTGCTTATTTCTGTCCCATGGAGCCAGATTGTCTGTGAAACAAACTTTAAAGCAAGAGATGATAAAAAAACCTCTTTGTGTTCAAGTCCTTACTGATGAAGGTTGAAAGTGCTCTGGCATTCACACAAGTATCTGTCACTATGAAACCTGTCCCTTTGTTCATTTCCTTTTCTTCTACCTTTCATCATGAGAACTGTTTATT